TGGAAAGGATCCAGATGCCCCACAATGATGCCCTAGTAGTAACTCTTCGCATCAAAGACTTTGACATCAAGAGAATCTTGATCGACCAGGGGAGTTCGGTTGAAATTATGTATTATGATGCGTTCAAACAAATGAAGTTGGAGGACAAGGACTTGGCCCCTGCGACGTCCCCTTTGGTTGGCTTCAACTCTCAGGCAGAATGGCCGATCGGAAAGATCGTTTTGCCGGTCGAAGCGGGTTCGGTCGTAAAGCAAGTGGAATTCTGAGTGCTCAAGGTTCCATCCACTTATAACTTAATTTTGGGCAGGGGCTGGTTACACGCCATGCAAGCAGTTGCGTCAACCTTCTATCAAGTTATGCGCTTTCTAGTGCCCACCGGGCAGATCGAAGAGGTTTAGGGAGACCAGGTGATGGCAAAACAATGCTTCGTTGCGGTAAATGGCAGCCGAGCAGCCAAAGGGTTTGTCCAAATGATTGAGGGACCCGAGGGAAAGGAGGTCCTTGAAGACGTAGGAAGAAAGGCCGAGGAAAAATCGATCGAGGATTTGGTGGAAATGCGCATCGACGAGAACGACCCAACTAAGTTCTTCCTCTTGGGATTATCTTTGTCTAGCGCCAAGCGGTTAGATTATGTCAACTTCTTGGTCTCCAATTTGGAGGCTTTTGCGTGGACGCCTTATGACATGCCTGGCGTCGACCCTAGCTTTATTTGCCACCAATTGAATGTCTTCCCTAATGCGCGGCTGGTCATTCAGAGGACTTGCCGCTTGGCTCTGCACCATGCCGAGGTAGTGGCAAAGGAGGTCAAAAATTTGTTGGAAGCAGGAGCGATAGAAGAAGTGCAATACCCTTGATAGATATCCAACACGGTGGTGGTCCCGAAAAAGAATGGCAAACGGCGAGTCTGCGTTGACTACAAGACGGTCAACCGTGCATGTCCAAAGGATAGCTTTCCCCTCCCTCGAATTGACCAGCTGGTGGACTTGACCGCTAGCCATCAGAGGTTTAGCTTCCTGGATGCGTATCGCGGCTACCACCAGATAGCCATGTATAAACCGGACCGAGAGATCACGTCGTTCACTACTCCTAGAGGCCTGCATTGTTATAAAGTCATGCCGTTCGGACTGAAGAACGCCAGGGCAACTTTTCAGAGGATGGTGACAAAGATGTTCGCTCCTCTTTTGGGCCGAACAATGGAGGCCTACATCGATGATATGGTGGTAAAGAGTAAAGAGAAGTCTCAACACCTCGCCGACCTAGCAGAAATGTTTGCCATACTTAAGCACCACAAACTTCGTTTGAATGCCTCCAAGTGCGCCTTCGGAGTCGGCACCGGGAAGTTTCTAGGTTTTCTGGTCACAAACCGAGGGATTGAAGCCGACCCATCACAGATCAAGGCTATACAAGAGCTGGAGCGCCCAAACTCCATAAAGGACGTGCAACATCTTGCCGGGATGGCAGCCAAGCTGAATAGATTTATCAGTCGGTCTTCAGATCGTTGCAGGCCCTTCTTTAAAACTTTGAAAGCCAAGTTCTTCTGGGATGACGAATGTGACTGTGCATTGGCAGACTTAAAAATACACCTTTCCTCAGCCCTTATCTTACTCACACCTCGGCTGGGCGAAGAGTTGTATCTCTACTTGGCAGTCTCTCAACATGCTGTGAGTGCCGTCCTAGTCCGCGCTAAAGGCATCCAGCACTTGCCCATCTTCTATGTAAGCAGGACTATGCTCCTGGCCGAGACGAGATATCTTCCACTGGAAAAATTAGCGCTGGCCCTGATGATGGAATCAAGAAAGCTGGCGCACTATTTTCATGCCCATACAATAGTTATGTTAACCGAGTTTTCACTTAAGGTGCTTTTTGAAAAGACAGACTTCACCGGGAGAATTTTGAAATGGGCCGTGGAATTGAGGCAGTATGATATCAAGTTCCGCCCGCGCACCACAATCGAGGCTCAACCTTTTGCAGACTTTGTGACGGAATTTGCCCCTGGAACGCATCCAGTTTGCCCGGCTGATTTGGCTGGTGCGGATTTAACGTAGCCCATGGTTCTGGCAATAGAGACAAGTGTTGGCTCACAAGTGGGAGAAGGGCGAAGAGCGACCGAACTAGAGGAGCCAGGTGACTTCTTGGAAGACGGACTTAACCAAGGCAAGGAAAGAGACCAAAATGAACCGATCAGAGACTTGGAATTGAGGAGCTCCCAGAACCCCGCTGATTGCTGGAAGCTGTTTATTGGCGAGATATAGAAGCTTTTCGTCGATGGGGCATCCAACAGACATGGGGCCGGGCTGGGTATCGTACTGACTTCACCGGATGGGCTGATTATCGAGCAGGCAATTACGTTCGGCTTCCCAACATCCAACAACGAAGCGGAGTATGAAGCCCTCCTTGTCGGACTAAGAAGCGTATTGAGAATGAAGGCGTCAGCCCTTATGGTATTCAGCGATTCCAAGCTAGTGGTCAATCAGGTCTTAGGGGAGTATGAGGCAAGGGACGAAAGAATGGCCAAGTATCAGGCGCTGGTACGCGCAGAGATCAAAAAGTTCGCTGCAATAAGGATGGAACAAATCAACCGCGAAGAAAACAACGCGACTGATGAATTGGCTGGACTTACTTCTACTCAGACAACTTTTCCTAACCCCTTGATGATAGAATTTTTACCTCAGCCAAGCATTGAGGAACCAGAAGTGACCGAGGTACTCTGTACAGACTTGGGTCCTTCCTGGATGGACCCCATCATCGTCTTCCTAAAAGATAGAGTCCTACCAGAAGACAAGAAGGCGGCTAACAAGATTCGAGCCAAGACAGAGCGGTTTTGGCTCTCCCCATCCAGAGCCTTGTATAAGAAGTCTTTTACCGGGCCGTATCTAAAGTGTGTCCACCCCACCAAGATGGAAGCCTTCCTCTATGAGATCCATGAAGGCATCTGTGGCAGCCATACTAGGGGCAGGTCTTTGGCTTACCGAGCAATTTTCCAAGGTTATTGGTGGCCGTGCATGCAGGTAGACACGCAGAAATACGTTCGCCGATATGAAAAGTGTCAGAAATTTACTCACCAGATCCACCAGCCAGCGAGAGAATTGCTCCTCCTTACAAGTCTTTGGTCGTTCGCACTTTGGGGATTGGATATAGTGGGGCCACTCCCAGCAGCCCCGGGCAATCGCAAATTCTTCATCGCCGCCACTGACTACTTAACAAAGTGGGTTGAGGCCGAGCCATTGGCGACCATAAAGGAAAAGGATGTGAAGAAGTTTGTCTGGCAAAATGTTATCACTCGCTTCGGTATACCCAAGGCCCTCATCTCGAATAACGGCACTCAATTCGATGGGAAACTCTTTCGCGAATTTTGCGAAGAGTTGAAGATCGAGTTCTACAATTCAACGTCGGCCTATCCTCAATCAAATGGTCAAGCAGAGGCCTCAAACAGGACCATCTTGGACAGGCTGAAGAAACGGCTTGAGAAGGCCAAGGGGAAGTGGACCAAAGAACTCCCTAATGTACTCTGGGCGTACTGTACTACGCTAAGGCGTTCGACCGGAGAAACACCGTTCGCTTTGGCCTATGGCATGGAGGCCGTCATCCCGCTGGAAATTGGCATGCCAACCATCCGGTCTGAGAGTTTCTAGCCAGATCTGAACAACGAAGCTGTCGCATTGGAGCTAGACCTTGCCAAGGAAAGGAGGGAGCGGGCACTGATCCATATAGCGGCTTATCAACAGGAACTCTCCAACAAATACAACAAGGCGGTGCACCCCAGGTTATTCAAGATCGGGGACTGGGTCTTAAGAAAGGTGCTGGGCAACACGGTGGTCCCTGGCGAAGGAAAGCTCAGTGCAAATTGGGAAAGACCATACAAGGTGACTGGCCTCGCTGGCAAAGGGGCATATCATCTGGAAGATTTAGATGGCAAAGCTGTCCCCAGACCATGGAATGCAGCCAACCTTAAGATCTTTTACTTTTGAAATATAATCACTTTTGTTGCTTAGCTTTCTAGACCTTTAGCCTTCTGGCGTTCAATGTAAGGATAACACTACTCTTTGTAATGAAAAATGTCTCTACTTTTTGTTTATACTATGTGATTTGCAAGGATATTGGGCCTCTGAGGATGCCAGGGGCAGGGAGACCAACCTGAAAGGGACCGAACTGATCTCCTCTCACCAGTATAGAAACAGACCACACAAACAATTGGTGTATTGTCCAGTGAAACAATTGGTGTATTGTCCAATTTGCATAAGGCCCGAGCTGATTTTTGCTCGCCCAATTGGGATGTTGGCGTCATGACCAACTTAAATGAAATATTGGTGTTCTGACCAATCCAAAGGCCGAGCTAATTTTGCTCGGCCAAATCGAAATGTTGGTGTTTTGTCCAACTGAAAAGAGCCGAGCTGACTTTGCTCGGCCCAACAAAATGTTGGTGTCTTGTCCAACTTACAAGAGCCAAGCTGACTTTGCTCCGACAAATGAAATGTTGGCGTTTTACGCAACACAAACAGGTCGAGCTGATTTTGCTCGGCCACATGGACATATTGGTGTTCCGCCAATCTAAGAAGGCCGAGATGATTTTCGCTCAGCGAAAGGGCCATGATGCTTGGCGTTTTATCAAACTGAGAGGGGCCGAGGTGATTTTTGCTCGGCCAAAATGAAATATTGGATGTTTTTCCTAACCTATAAAGGCCGAGACGGTTTAGCTCGGTCACATCGAAATGGTAGCCTGTTGTCGCATTTCCAAGGACCGAACTGATTTTTGCTCGCCCAACTCTAAATGTTCATGATTTGCCCAACTTATGGCCGAGCTGATTTTACTCGGCCGTACGAAAATGTCTGGGTTTGTTTGCAACATCCAGGAGCCGGGCTACCAATTGCGATTTGTGAACATTTAAGTTGAGGGAAGTCTAATTTTAGCTTGGCATATTGCGCGGCATAGCCGACCTACCAGTTGTAATCCCAGAACATTCGAATAAAGAAATAGTGAACTTTGCAACCGAACAGAAATAGAAGATCAACGAGCAAAAGGCTCAAATTCTCATTGATTTAGGAAATTACATTACAAAGGTGGGGCCTAGCCCGGTTACATTCAAAAAAGAAAGAAAAGAAACAAAAACAAAGCAAAGAAAATATACATCAATCTAGCTCGAGGTCAACCGTCTACTCGGCGACCTCAACCGTTTGCTCGGGCAACCCATCCGCGGCCTCGTTGTCAGCGCCTTCCACCACGACAACCTCCCGATCAGCCACTTGACCTTCGACATCTTGAGATGCTTCGGGAGAAGTTTGCTCGGTTTGTTGCGCGGCGGCGGCTTTTTCCTCGGCCGTTTTCTTTGCCTCTTCGATGAGCCGATTTTGAGCGGTATTAGCATACGCCTGCATGTAGACCGGGATATAGGCTGCAGGGGGATTCAGGAACATATCAGCGTCTTGACCAAGGTCAACTTTTTCCACGGCAGCTTTCCAACCGCATTAGAAAAAGATGTCCTTGGTAGCCTGAACTTGCCGCTCATAGGTCTTCTCGCCCTGCACGTATCCCCGGTCCTCGGCATCATCAACCGCCTTGTCTTTCTCTTCCTTGTGGGCATTGCGCAGTTTGCGCAGCTCGGCGAGGTACCGAGCCTTCGTCGTCTTCACGGCCCGTTGTTTGTCTGCTTCAGCCCGGTCCAACTTCTGGCTTAGCGTATCGCGCTCGGCCTCAGTCGCCTCTTGCGCAGCCTTCAACTTGGCTATTTCGACAGTTTTGGCCTTGTTTTCAGCAATGGCATCCCGCAGGCTCTGCCGCACTGTGACCATCCGATCGTGTGCTAAATAGTTCTTTTGCGCGGCCTGAAAACAAATGAAAGATTGTAAGAATTTAGAAAATCGAGCAAAAATCGGGCAATAACTTGACGAAAAGAGTGGAGAACTTACCAAAACGATCGATTTAGCCGCCGAGCGAAGCACCTTCAAGTCGGACAGCTCGTCGTGCTTCTTCATGTCAGCGGGAAAGATCAGCCCCTTGGTTATGTTGAAACCGAGGGAGTAATCCTTGTCCGCGTAAACAGAATCCGCCGCAGAGACAGCCCGGCCTTTGTACTTGAATTCGGGCGACCAAATCGAGGGGGCATTTAGGCTCTTGGATGGCCCGCCGATTGGTTGTTCGATCTGGTCCCCCAGGTCGGTCGAAGCCTGCTCGGTGGAGTCTTCGTCCACCAGATGTTGTCCAGCTAGATCTTTCCTCGGCCGCTTCTTCGACCGGCCAGATGCTTGTTCGCTGGCAAGAGCCAGCACAGCCCCCTCCTCTTGTGCAACCGGAGTGGAGGAAGTCCCCCCAGATGCCTCTGGTGGCTGGGAGTCGCTGGGCTCACCAGTAATCATCAATTTGATTGCCCGGATTTTGGCCATTTCTTGCTCGGCAGTAAGAGGAACAAGTTTGATTGGTGGAAGATTTGGATCTGGTTCTGAGGAGGGCGCACAAAGAAAGTCAGTCACCCTGTTTTTGCGCGGCGCTGTGTAATGGTAGGTCGGTTCAAAGCCGAGCAGCTTCGGTGATTCCCTTTCCTCGGCCGGATGACGCAGCAGAACTCTGATGGCCTCTTGATTAGCTCGGGAGTAGTTGTCGGCCAAGAGCTTGTAATCTGCAAAAAAGAGGACAAGTGTTAGATCGGCAAGAAGAAAATCAATGCAAAAAGAAAGTAACGCGGTTTGCCGAGCTACTCACCAGCGCTGCCAAAATCTTTCCTAATGTACCAGCCAAGTATGGGTGCCTCGGTGTCCTCATAACAACCGGACACCCACAAGAAGTCATCGTCGTTTGTTTCCTTATCAGGGTTACCCTCAATGAATTTTGTTCGGCCCTTCTTGACCTTCAGGTACTAGCAAAACCCACCCTTATTTTTGCTAAGGCTATATTGATGTAATATCTCAGCGAGACCGAGCCTCCGATTTAGCTCAGCCACGCCATTTATTATCTTGTACGTGTTGTTTGAGACTTGGGTCGGACAAAGCCTTGTCTGCCTCAAAAATTCGCAGATCAAGGGTTGGACCGGGAAGCGAAGCCCTCTTTCCACGATGGATACGACCGTAAATGGGCACCGATCTAGGTCACCCCATGGGGTATCTCCCTTCTTGGCCAGCTCTAAATGGACATCGTCTGGAATGTTGTACTCCCTACAAAACTCGGCTAGTGCACCGGGCGAGCTCACCATGAACCGGTACTTCCCCATCTATCTCGGTTCACTTATTTGGTGGTTTAATTTGTATCTCGGTGGAAAATTCTGGTGTATTTGCTCAGACTTAGAGCTCCACCAGTGGTAATACTGAAGGGGCCTGGTCGGTCCTAGTTTGTTCTGCATTGTTAAAAGATAAGCCCAAGGGTTAGCACAGCATAAATTGCACGGCTCCTATTGGAACTCCTAGCTCGGTCGAAATCCCCCGTTATATGTGGCTGGTCTAGCCCCTATCTCGGCTCGACTATCCGGCCGATTTGGCCTTCCTAGTTCGGTTCTGACTCCCTATATCCAGCATGGTCGTGGCCTCAACGAGAAGCCACAAACTAGTTTTTGCTCGGCTGAAGTTTTATTTATCAATCTAAGTTGCCTACTTAGCTCGGTTCTACCTAGATTCAAATTGTGCATCCCAAGTGCAGAGTTTGTGCTTTGAGGCTTAGGGAATCAAGGGGCACGAAAACCCCAAATGCTCCCCCAATTCCAGTTTTTTCTAGGGTGTATCATTATTAGTCTAAAAGGGAGGGGGACTGTTGTGATTCCAACATCCCCAAGCAGGAACACGAAGAACACAGTTGAAAAACTTGAAGAGTAAAGACTGAAAGTACGAAATATGGATAGAGGGACTTACCAATGTCAGATGCCTAGCAAAGTCGACCCCACAAGCTTGTTTGCAGCTTCAGAAGGAACAGAAATGGACGTTGGGGAACGAAGGGGAGCAACGGCAGTAATGGTGGAAGTTTGGAGTGTTGAGGGCTAGGGTTTTGGCTTGAAGGAGGAGATGAATAGTGTGGGTGCAAATGACCCTTCGTTTGTGCATAAAAAGGAGGGAAAACCAAACGGTTGCGCCGTTTGAATTTCGCGCCTGAAAAGACAGCTTTGGGGCTGCACGGGGCCAAAGGGATGAAGCCACGTGGCATCAAAAGGACGGCTGTCAGTACAGTTGTACGACCCTTGATAGGACTACGGGCAGGATACGAAGACCGACCAAATGGAATAGCTTGGTAATTGCTTCAACCCCAATCACGCTCGGCATGGTACTGGCGCGACTAAGGGACTGTTAGCTCAGTCATGGTGATAACCCCAATCACGATTAGCTCGGATGAGATTAAGGGACAATTGAGAGGGGAGATTTGCGTCGGATAGTACGACCGAGCTACGGTAACGGGGGTGGGGCAAACCTCACGGTGCCGAGCTATCTTCTCAATTGGCGCGGCCCTCCGGCCTGTCGTACACGACCAAGGTAGGTTGGCCGACCAGGTATGGTCTAAAGCCTGGCCGAGCTGTTACTGCTAGACGTTCAGCGATGGGCGCGCGTTAGCACAACATAACCGAGCAAATGACAATCCGGAATGAGTCTAGGCCGAGAAGAGGACCAGCACGCTTCACTTTCAGTTAACCCGGAGAGTTTGGACCATGAGGGTGGTCGGCGTGCGCTCGACTGGATAGCTCGGAAGCTCGGTCATGTTCTCTGTGGTTGTGATTTTCTCCAAGGAATAGGCCGATTTTGGTATGCCGGTCAGGTGCGCCACTTAGGCCAATGACGTAAGGGAGAGGAAATATGCTCCAGGCATGCGTTAGTACCGTTTGGCAGTTTTGCATGTACTGGATAGAGGATTTGGCCTTTACACGCGTAAGGTGGTGGGAGACGAGCACTGCCACCTGTCCAGGAAAGGACAGCAGAGGTAGTGCGCGCACAATCTTGAGGCTGCATGGCCAGCCTAGAAAAAGGAAGGGAAGATGAACGTTAGAGATAAGCAACTTGCGCCATCTGAAACGCACACTCTCTCTCTCTAACAGCCTTCTTCTTCCTTAAGTGATCTGACTTGATCGTCGGAGGGCCTATCCGACACACCACCGCCGGGTAGCTCACCGTTCTCTGTGTTGCCAGGTTAGACGCCGTCACGTGAAGCTTGGAGTCCAAGGAGTACGAAAAGCAAATGATATTTTCCCTCCCGTACATAAATAAATAAATAATTATAGTTAAATTTCGCTTGACCATATTGCTACTCATCTTGTAGTCACTTAATCAGTCTTAGAAAGCAATTCTTCTCACAAGAGCCACAACAAAGCAAAAATTCCGATGGCCAAAGACAAAATGTTGCATAAGCAGTGCAAATATACTGTTTTAAATAAGCTCTGGTTCCAGCCTACTAAGCCTCCTCTACCTCTTGGTTCCTCTGCAACTCACATTCAAGTCTAATAGCAGACACGAGCTCAGGCGAAATAACTGGCCGAATCTCACCCTCTCTGCCTGCTGATGTTTTCCACACATCTTTTGTATTCTTCACAACAGTTTGGCCAGGTTTCTCCCCTGCTCCCCAACCCCTATAAAGTATGATTTTGCTAGGTTCCTGTGAGACTAGCACTCCATCTGTGGCTTGCTGTGGGCAAAACAAAAGGAAAAGACATGGTTTCAGCTACATTGCCTAGAGCTAAACGCTCCATTTGTTTCAGCAACAAACATTTTCCGCATTATCTAGCATTTGGTGGTCAGCAAAAAACAAGCTTATTTGGGCTAAAAATATTTCACTTTTGAAAGGTAAAAAACATTTTCCGAACTAAAATCTAACCAATGCTACCAGCTCTGCCGCCGCCGCCACTTCTCACCATCACCTCCACCTCCACCACCACCACTCATACAACTATTAGCATATTAATTTCAAAGTCGTAACCAATTATGTTAGAAAATGTTTTCCGCTGAAACATATGGAGCATAAATGAAAGCAATAAAGAGGCATCTCATACAACTATTAGCATATTAATTTCAAGGTCGTAACCAATTATGTTAGAAAATGTTTTCCGCTGAAACATATGGAGCATAAATGAAAGCAATAAAGAGGCATTTCTGTGTGCAAACCTCAAGCTTGAAAACCACCTCCTGGACTGAAGTCCCTTTGGCTCTGCCTTTGACATTCACTATGGCAAGGGGGTACTTCTGAAAGTGTGTCTTAATTGTTTTTGCAACTCCAGTGACGATATTGCTCCTCCCTGAGAAATAAAAGCAGTAAAAGAAATGCCAAAGTGTGATCATTTTCCATTCGGTGGTGCTACATGCACTAATTAGTATACTAACTAATGTACTAACACTAATTATGATATTATTATTGACCACACTCATTAATCACATTACAAATACTAAAAACCTCTTAAATTATGACACATCATCAATTGATATATTAGTTAGTATACTAATTAGTGCATATAGCATTATTCTTTTCCATTATCTAGTAATTATGTTTCGTTAGGTTGCTAAAAGAGTCAAAGTCAGATGAAAAGTTGCAGGAAACATTTTAAATCTCATGCTTTGTTCTGTGTGTAATTAAATTCAGTATTAACAGAGTTTAGACAAGTTTTTGAATTTCATAACTAATTCACATTCAACAGATCCAAACAACAGAAAAAGATAAGACCTCAGTTTACTTCCTTTCTTCGTTAACTTTAAGCTAAAATAAAAAAAATAAAAAAATAGAACTTAAAGATCAGCAGATTTCAATTAGGCTGAATCAATCTTAAGTTAATAATTAAAAATAAACTACGGAGAAAATCCAGCAATTATCAGGGGTCTAATAACCTTGAGATTGTAGATTCAAGCCCGAGGGCAGCCACTTTGTGCAACTTATGCAAAGGTTAGGTCTGTACCCAATCTACCCCTCCCAAGCCCCCATCAAAATGGGGACTAAACTGGGTATGGTTTTTTTTTGTTTTAATTTTTTTTTTAAAAAGAATAAAGAAAATCTAGCAATTCCAGAAAACAAAAGGCTACACTTAACACAGCCGTTTAACCTTGTGAAGTTACTTCAGATAGGAGCCTTACTCTAAGCCATCCCAACAGATGTAAATTACAACAAACAATGAAAATAATAAAAACAAAAGCAACAAGAAGCAAAACTTTGGAATGGCTAGAAGGTGCAAAAACATTACCTACAGCAAGCACAGGGCGCTTTTTCATCCGGAGGGCCTGCTTTCGCAAAAAAAGTCTCTCTCTGTTGGAAAGCCGTACAGCTCTAAAAGGCACCCTACTAGAGACATTCTCTATAGTGCTGTGAACTGATGGCTCTGGTCCACTTTTTGGTGATTCAACAAATGGAATCACGGCTTTGTCACGAACATGAGGTTCAACATTAACAACTGGTAAAGAGCTTGTTTGATCTTGTGACTAAAATCAACACAGCATATATCAGTTCAACAATAATTACAAGTACAAAAAATTGAAAAACAATAAAACTACTAAAAAAATATTATTAAATAATACCATAGAATCATCAGGACAAGTTGCAGATTCGACATCTCCACCTTGACCGTTGATGCCCATAATGACATTGGATTCTTTACATACCGCATCAGCTAAAGGTTCTGATTCAGTTATTTTAAACTCATCCTTGTCCTCCTTGGAAAATATCAAAATGTCCCGCTGACTGGTTTCTGGACTGCTGCTTAAAGCATCAATATCATCATTTGGGTCAAAGGAACTTGAATTGGCTCCACATCTGTCTCTAGCCTTCAATGATATGAAATGCACAAGTCCATTGAAAAGAAAGCCGTAGACAAGTTACAAAATGTAGTTAATGAACAATTAATTAATTGACTAAAATAATGGAGGACCACATACGAAAAGGGTATATTTCAATGCCCCAACATGATTTCAGCACATGATACCTACGTAACTTCTTTTTTTTTTCTTTTAAATGTTATGAGCTTTGCTTCATTAAAGTTACATATTTTGTTATAAACAAGTTGCCCGACACTTTTTATAAATTTTGTTTTATCATATCAGATCTTTTATTATGACTTGAACAATGTCTTGCAATACCCACACTTCTAAGTAAAGGTGAATATCAGTGAAACATTGAAAAAGGTTCATGTAAATGTGTGCCTCCATTGGATGAGGCTTACTCTCTATAATTTCTTGCAGCTGAGGTGTTGGATTTTAGTTTTACGGCCTAAAAATCAGCACCAAAACCTATAATAACGTTGAGAACCATATAATGATCTGGCCTACTGCAATTGCTGCTACAAGCACTAGAAAAACAACAATTGTATATCTGGGAACTGCATGTGGATAGTATGCTCCTCACCTCTACATTCACTTCAGTACAATTAGGAGTTACTGAAGTAGAGCAGTCATTAGTGAAAAGGTCTGTGTCAGATCTTGTATATTCAGCTAATCGTTTTTTCTCCGCCTCCTGCTCTTTCACCTGGAACATGACAGAACTACATAACTTAGCCCAAAATTACTAAGATATCACTTGGGTGAGGGTTATGATAAACAGAGCATGATGTAACTCACCAACTGAAAGTTTGATTCTTTATCTGACTGCATGTTGTTTGTCTCCTTTCCTTTGGACTAATTCAAGAAAAAATATGTAATTTACTTTGAAAATAGATTCATAAATTAACTGGCTAATTATGGAATACAATTAGTGAAGACATAATAACTCACCAGCTGAAGCTTCAATTCATCTATATTTCTGCCAAGCTTCAAAACATGAAGTTTCAAGGACTGCATTGTATAACGAAGAGAATGGATAAGGCAGAGAAGTAGATACCACTTTGGGTTAAAACTTAAAATTTAACAAAAATTCAAAAAATAAGAACAGAAAGGTAAATTCAACATTTTGTCACACAGTTAAACAAGGTACATGCATTAGAAAATCAGTTACTGGCCAACGCAACTGAATGACTCAACTTAATATCAACCCACTGCAGACCTTGCAAGCAAGCAATGAACTCAACCAAACAACCCTAATAACCACTTCATTGTATTTTCACTTGTCATTTGAGCCTGCCTTTTCACAAATTAAAGAAATGAATAGACAACTTGATTTCAATTATCAATTTTAAATTGTAATCCCTTCCACTTTTTGGGGAGTTTTTTTTGGCACTGTTGTTGGTGGGTGGTGGGTGGGGGGATCATGGTTCATCATGTGCCTGAAAAATACAAAAAGAGAGATGCCAATTTTACCTCACGCCGCTGCGCCTCTATAGAACGTTTCATTGCCTCTCTTTTGTTTAGGAGTGTTTGAGGCCTCAAGCAGTCAGGTCGTTGGTAGTTCTTCCCACGATACACTATAATGGCATAGCCCTTGCTAACTCTCTCCACAGCCACCAATATTCCATTGCTTTCTGCCTCTAATGCCCGTGCTATTCCATGAACAGCTTCAATGCTTCTCCCACCACATATTACCTTAACAAGTTCTCTATACTTCCAGTGGAGATGCATGTTTTCAACTGTTCCATCAAAAACCCCCCGTCTACCTGAGCATGGAAATAAATAATGATTCAAGACCACTTCTGTAAGCCAGAGCTAAATGTATTGAAAGCTTCTTAGAATCTTTTCATTCGAGGGAAGAAGAAAAGAGTCGTTAGACAACAAACTCACCCAACAGGAGGAACGGCTTCATTTTCAAACCGACCTTCCTCAACATATATCTTTCTTCTTCGGTTATACCCTCTTTATCTATTTCAGCTTCTTGGGGGGTCTCTTCCTTGTCCAGCTCTGCTAGAAGCTTCTCTGCTTTGGCTTTCTTCTCAAATGCCTGTTCTGGGAAACATGCCATTCAGAATTCAAATAAGACTTGAACAAGAAGGTTGCTAACATTAACATCTTCATGAATGCATACCATTTGCAACTTTGTGCTAGTTTTCTTAACAGCTGCTTCAGTGGATCTTAGTTTCCTTTGTTCAGAGACAAGTTTCCTTTTCTGATCGCTTATCCCATCACATTCATCTTGACACTCCTGAATAGTCATAACTGATGAACTAAAATCTGTCCTGTGTTTCTCCATAGGAATTCCGCATTTTCTCCGCTCTTCTATTGCTGAAGAAACTGCAGCAGGCAGGAAATCCTTTCCTCTATATAAGACAATAATTTCCTTATCCCGTGAAAGAAGAGTTCCTCCAGTCAGCCACTGCAATAGTTTATTTCTAATAAATAAATGTCTCTGAAGAATTATAGAGAAAATGAGTAACAACAAAAGGTGTGTGTTGCCAATACCTTAAAAGGCTTTTCCTACCAGAAAGTTGACATGTTATTGTCATACAAAATATATAGCATAAATTAATATTGGGAGAGCCAAATAGGTCACTTGCACCATAAATAATTCAGCGTGGTATGAAATAAAAGTGAATTTATAATTATTAACCTTTAACTCTCCAGCCATCAGTTCACTGTTAGTGTTCTGGACTCCTCTCTTAACTGCAATTTTTGCAATTTCACATTTTTCCCAGAGCTTGACAATGGAAGCAGCCAATCCTTGAAGTTTTCTGTTTCTGCCTGATTAAAAGATAAATGCAAGTAAAATATGAACGACAAGGAGAAAAATAACATCCATGAAATGGGAAGTCACTCACCTAACACAAAATGGCATGGTAAAGGCCGACCAAGTCTCTTTAATATTGTCATTTCATCATTTGTTAGTTTAGGCTTCACCCCGTACGGAAGAAGGCGGAAAGGTTTCCTGTATCCAGGAACAATTGCTGCTAGAAGATCAGCATCAACAGGTAGAGGATCATATCCCCACCAATCAGTGAATCGTGGACCTAGTCCATCCAGTAGACTGTCAGCTTCTTCTACAAGTTGTGCCTCACCAGGCAGTTGAAATCGTACCCTATTTGGAGAACCAACACCTTGTATCAAGGGTGGTTGAGCCATTTTGTTGGAAGAATGTCGTCCTGCGGAATTTAAGTAATCTGTGCCAGATGAGCAGCTTTCCTCTCTAACATGTACTCCAGAATCCATGCTTGAACTCCGTGAAGTACCGGCAGAAGTGTCATTTGTTGAATTATTATCAGACAAGAAGTAAGGATACTTATAATTAGCCCCTCTGTAAAGTATTATATTACTCCCAGACCTCCAAATAACTAAACCTCCAGTTTTCTTCTGAGAATGTCAAAACAAAGATTCAAGTTAAACAATACGCTTTGGGTTCAAAAAGGCAAAGCTCATGCCAAAACCTTCTACTCTGATAATTTCATACAAGATGATAAGCATTCTATATCAAGTAATATATACACATTGAGCTAGCAAATGCAGCCTGGAATTTTTTTACAGTATAATATATATATATATATATAAATCTTAACTGTCATGAAATTGGATTTTCCTGTCCACATAATGTCAAGAAATAGAGGCTGAACAGTGATGGCATGTCACAAAAAAGTGGTGTATTTTTCTTGATAGGTATGAAATTAACGGTCCATTCGAACTTTGATAAAGTTCTAAAAGAAGGTTTGGTATTTTTTTATCAAATTTTTATACATCCTCTTTTATTTTCTTTTTCTTTTCAACAAAATTATTTTCTTTTTCTTTTCAACAAAATTCATGCAATTTGCTGCTTTAGTTTTGTTAAATCTTTTATTATAACTTCATATTATTTCCCCTCGCTTCTCTCATTTCTTTCTCCACCTCTTTCTAACCTTCTTTCTTTTCTTTTTTTAGGTGTGTGTGTATCTTAGTGTAATTCCGTCCTATTTTTTAAGGAGGCATGTGATATTATTTTAAATTATTGGCATCATCATGTTCTGAAACTAAAACAGAAAATCAAATTAATAATAAAAAAAACTGAAATGAACCCCAAAATAAAAGAAAGAGAAAATTGATCGGTCAACTAGAGCATAACTCTTAACATATATAACTTTGGCATATCACGTCAATCTTTAGCCGTCCAACCACCAAATGAAAATCATGTTTTATTGGGTAATGATAGACCTTGCCAAATTTTGCAGACCAAGAAGAACATTGTATTGTATTCCAAATGAAAATCATGTTTTATCGGGTAATGATAGATCTTGCCAAATTTTGCAGAAGAAGAAGATTGTATTGTATCCCAAATTCCAGCTGACATAACAAGCGGAACATTGTATTGTATGTATGAATCATAATGTACTATGAATTGTATCTCAAAGTATTTATTCAAAAAAAAAATGTAATGTATCTCAAAAATACAGAATTATGATAAGCTAAAGGAATAAAACTCTAACCTCCAATAATCCATGAGTCCTCTTCATGTTCAACCTACAAATATCCTCACACACAATCTTCACGAGCTCCGAATTCCTCCACCTTTCATGAATCCCATTCACAATCCCCTCCGTAATCCCGGCCTTCCCAACCTTCAACTTCTTCTTCAACCCAATCCCAATTGTCCTCAGCCTCCTCAGCTCCCCCTTATTCATCGTCAATTCCGCCACCGTCGGCGCATCCCTTGCCTCCCCCTTCTTCATCTCCCTCTCCTTCACCTTCTCCATTATAACCTTTCTTCTGAATCCATGAAACCTCTGTATAGCAGTCCCCAACCCGGGCTCTGGAACCGGATTCTCCGGCGAGCTCCAACTCGTATCAATTGTGTGCCCGACCCGGTACTTGGGCAGGCGATTGGGCAGAGGAATGAAAATCTCGCCAGGCAAGTCATTGCTGGAATGGGAATTTAGGGTTTGTTTTGAGTCTTGTTCTTCTTCTACGTAGCCAAGGCTGCGGAGCTTGTCGGCGATTCTTTTGATGGCGGATTGAGGGAGAGTTCGGGTGGCGGCGGAGGAGGCGGAGGCGTAGGGGCGGAGGAGGGAGGAATTGGGGGGAATTCTAGGGTTTCGGAAGAGAAGGGTTTTGGGGAAAGGGAAGGGGGTGAAGAAGGGGTTTGGGAGGGAATTGAAGGGAAGAGAGGTTTGGTGGTGGTTGGATAGAGGAAGCAACATTTGGTGAGGAATCTCAGTTCTTCTAATGAATCATTTTGGAGTGTATAGAATTGATCTTCTGTCTCTCTCTCATGCAAGCTTCATCTTCATCGTCGTCCTCGAGGGAGGATACAATGGCTCAGCTGAGGATGGATGGAGTTTGGACTAGGGAGTTCACAGTCACTACTGTGTATGTTGGGTTTGTTAACGATTAGTTTACCATTATCCGCTCCCTTCTTCCAATTTTATTTTTTATTTTATTTTGAAAAAGCTTAGAAAACAAAAAAGCGAATGCAGTCCAATTTTGTACATAAAGCCTCCTCAATATAAATAAAATAAAATAAAATAAAAGACATGGCCTAACAACCATGAAACGACGTCGTTCCTAAGACATCAGATAATTTCAATCCATAGGCATGTTTTCTAATGCCTCGTTTGGCAAGAGGCTATTTTAGCCAATTAGCCAAAAAGTTATTAAATTAGCCAAAAAGTCAACAACCCATACCAAAAAGTCAAAGATTCTATTTTTTCTCTACTTTTTGCACATCTTTTCGTAATTAGCCAAAAAGTCATCCCAAACATACAAGTTTTTTTTACCTACCTTTTTAGCCAAACAGCCAAAAAGTTACTAAATTAGCCTGTTCCCAAACGAGGCCAAGTTATTTTATATTTTCTCTTTTTATTTTTTTTATTTCTACTTACATACATAAATCTATATATGTATTTTTATGTAGATATGTATAAACTCATGAATGTATAGCAATTACTTCCAATTACTGATTTTTTTGAGTTTTAGTTTTTGTGGGTTTCAATTATTTTGTACTGTTTTTCTGTTGATGTGCTTATTTCTCAATTACAATAACTTTCATTTGTTGTGGCTGAGATGTATTCATAGTGTGTTATTTAGGTTTTGAAAGAGAACACCAAAAAAGACATGAAACGACGTCGTTCCTAAGACATCAGATAATTTCAATCCATAGGTATGTTTTCTAAGTTATTTTATATTTTCTCTTTTTATTTTTTTTTATTTCTACTTACATACATAAATCTATATATGTATTTTTATTTAGATATGTATAAACTCATGAATGTATAGCAATTACTTCCAATTACTGATTTTTTTGAGTTTTAGTTTTTGTGGGTTTCAATTATTTTGTACTGTTTTTCTGTTGATGTGCTTATTTCTCAATTACAATAACTTTCATTTGTTGTGGCTGAGATGTATTCATAGTGTGTTATTTAGGTTTTGAAAGAGAACACCAAAAAAGAAAAAAAAGAAAGAAAAGAGTTTTGCTTATTAACTGCTTTTTGTGATTGTTATTGTGCCCTGGAGTGAAATAAAAAAAGAAATTTTGAAAAGAAAAAAATATATATATTAGATTCTAGAACCCAAAACTGCCTAGATTCTGTTACCACTGTTTTTTACATCTTCAACACTTGGTCCCCTGGTGAAGATTTGGACTTTTTGCAGCGAGAATGGTTTCGACTGATAATGGAGGAAATGATGAGGGAATTGAGAAATGTAATGGTTCTACTAGTGTCAATACTCAGATTCCTATTCATATTTCTATGTCTCGAAAGGGATTTATCACCGATGAAAACCCTCAACATAGGCTTGATGCTAATTTAGCTGCTCAGCCCCAATGAACACGATTTCTCAAATTCCAGCTTATTGCTTCGAGGAGAGATCAGATGTCCCGGGCTGTGCGTTCGTCAAGTGGTCATGTTATTCGAGAGCAACTCAATAAGGTCTTTTCCCGGAAAATGAATTGGGGCTGTATTTGTAAAATGGGCAAAGAATGGATTAAGGACCCTATGAACATGGCCCTTTTTGTTCGGATTGTTGGTGTTGGTGTATCTGGTGCACTTCTGTTCCTTGTCATGACCGGAATGTTGAACAGTGCCCTGCGGAAAAAGAGCGAAAAGAGATGCTTGGTTTGAAGTTTATTGTCAAATCCTCAATGCATTATTTACTCTAATGTGTCTTTATCAACACCCGAAGCGTATCTACCACCTCGTACTTCTGTTAAGATGGAGACCTGATGACATTTCCAAACTTAGAATGATTTACTGCAAGAATGGGACTTATAAGCCTCATGTATGGGCACACATGATGGTTGTTGTTGCTCTATTACATATTAACTGCTTTGCGCAATATGCCTTGTGTAGTCTTAACTTAGGATACAAGAGATCAGTACGACCAGCTATAGGAGTTGGGATATGTATCTCCGTTGCAATTGCTGCACCTGCAATCGCTGGTGTTTACTGCATTGTTAGCCCACTCGGGAAGGATTATCATTCTGAAACGGATGAGGAATCACAAGCTCATATTACCACTGCTGAAGTATGCCAGCCAAGCCAGTTAAGATCCAAATCATTAGTGAAGAGATTTTCATTTGCTTCAAGAGATGAGAGGATTGTCGAGAGCACCAGACCCATGTAGAGTGGTGGGGTGCTTGATTTTTGGGATGATATTTCTTTAGCATATCTCTCACTATTTTGTAGTTTTTGTGTTTTTGGGTGGAATATGGAGAGACTTGAGTTCGGAAACATGTATGTTCATATTGCAACTTTTCTTCTGTTTTGCATGGCCCCTTTCTGGATTTTCAATTTGGCTGCCGTTAATATCAATAATGAGAGCGTCAGGGAGGCATTGGGGGTTACGGGGATCTTTCTTTGTGTGTTTGGTTTACTTTATGGTGGATTTTGGAGGATTCAGATGAGAAAGAGATTCAACACCATATAATTTCTGTTACGGTAAAGCAGATGTTGCTGATTTTACACTCTGGCTTTTCTGCTGTTGGTGTTCTCTTGCTGATGAAGTGCGGACTGCGAATTCATATGATATTGTAGAACAAAAATTTTGCACAAAGCAAGTGGATGGATGTGGCCAATTGCAAATTTCACCTTTGCCTCGTGAAGATGGAGATTCAGAGTATAGGTCTGGCCCAAGTTCTCCACTTGGCAACATCTCTGCTCCATCACAGATTACAAAAGCTAACTCTACAATTCCAGATGGGCATCTTCCTTTGGAGGAGGAGGAATCTCATACAGGAGGTATGGATGAAACTATTGCATCACCTGCGCCTTCACTTATACAGAGAGAAGCCAATTAGGTTAAACCCATTCAATAATGGCATTGTGATTTGTATTATTAAGTGTTGCAGACTAGTTCAAATGATTTATAAGTATTTTTAGTGTATCCAATCGCATTTTACGTGTAAATTCTTTTTCTTTCTTAGGTCTCTTGAAGACAATTTTTTGGATACATCTGAGCATTATTATAGTTTCGTAGTTACCTCCATATTTGAACAAATACTCTATATGCAGCAAGTATTGCAGAAGGAATATGTCTAAAGGGTGCTAGCCTGCTAGGTGTTCCAAACTGAATAAAAAAACAACAGTTGTGCCTATTGTTTTCTCAAAACAAAGATGTTCTGAATTTTTTGAGGTGGCAAAAAGTAATCTCGACTTGCCATGCGTTCTGCTTGGGGTCTTTGTCAAGCTTCCCATCTTCGGTAATTTTCACAAGGTTGTGGAGCTCCAATATGAGATATTGGTGTGAATCTTTTGGAACTCCAGAGACGTCATTTTTTCACCCATGTCCCGAAGGGATAAATATATATATATATATATATACCATATTTGAACAAATACTCTATATGCAGCAAGTATTGCAGAAGGAATATGTCTAAATGGTGCTAGCCTGCTAGGTGTTCCAAACTGAATAAAAAAACCACAGTTGTGCCTATTGTTTTCTCAAAACAAAGATGTTCTGAATTTTTTGAGGTGGCAAAATGTAATCTCGACTTGCCGTGCATTCTGCTTGGGGTCTTTGTCAAGCTTCCCATCTTCGGTAATTTTCACAAGGTTGTGGAACTCCAATATGAGATATTGGTGTGAATCTTTTGGAACTCCAGAGGCTTCATTTTTTCACCCGTGTCCCGACTAATCAAACATATTCTCTCCTTTTCTCTATTTCTTTTATTCTTGTTGTTGTTTTGTACACAACAGAATTTAATCTTTTTAAATACAGTGAAGATTGGCCAACAGTTTGAAACTTTAAAATTAGTTGCTGCTTCATGATAAGAATTGAAGAAAATGTTTCATTTATGTGGGTAAATGGGATTGCTCTACATTATAAGATGTTCTTCATCTGAGTGTATTGCTCTACAATTGGTTCTCCAATAGCACCTTAATGGTCTCATGCTGGTCTAGACTAGAAGCGAGTTCCAGGAACTACCCAGGGTTGGTCTCCAGTCATGGAGTGCTTGAGTGACCTCATGACCATTGTGTAGGATCTCTGGGGTCATGTGGCTTGGTGACTAATGTTGAGTGTTTGTTAAGGTGCTCATCCCATCCTCCCTTGAGGGGACTTGCACCTTGATCGGTTTTAGAAAGAGAGGGAATCTCTATAAGACATATTTAGACCATGACAAAAAGAAACTTGCACTGTACCCTTCTGAAACTAGGAGCACACCCCACTAACATCTTGGATCTCTTAGTGCCTTGGACGATATGGGCACCATTAGTTGTCAAGTTCACTCTACTAATGAATGTCAAGGTAATTGGAGGTAGCCGCCTGTCCCTTGTACCCACTTGGGCACATACTCTCCGCACGCTTAGGGCGAGCTGGCTGGCTTCTTGGCTTTGTATATAGTGGCACCTCTTCTCTCCCTCTCCCTCTCCCTCTCCCTCTCCCCTAATGCCACCTCAGCTCTCCCTCGGCCCAACTCCGGTGGTTCAACGCCAGCTTAGTGCCCATCATACTCCCTAAAAGGCTTCCTCCACCAATCTACTCCCCTCAATTTAGGGCAATACAATTAGGGGAACCAGGTTCATTTAGTGTTATTCTAAATCCTATAATTAACTAGATGGAAAGGTTCCTCTTCTCGAGTATACCTTGTGCATTTTTTTTCCTTCATAATTTGGATATTAAAATTAGGGGGCTCAGCAGATATTCTAATCCGCCCAAACTAACCAAACTAAATCGATTCGCCGCATTTTGAACGGATGCATGATGACGAGTGGATGGTTACGGATTGTTTTTTCTAATCCGTCTAGTTTTGGATGGATGACGGATTTAAAGTTCTTTTGGCCACAACCGAACTGTCAAACTGGAAGCACTCCTAATTAAAATTTTAAATAGATGTAGTGAATCTCTCTTTTGTTGTATATTTATTGTAACGCCCCGAAATATTTCAACATAATCCA